GAGACAGGGTTTCTCTGTGTAGCTTTGCGCCTTTCCTGGATCTCACTCTGTAGACCAGGCTGGCCTCGAACTCACAAAGAACCTCCTGGCTCTGCCTCCCGAGTGCTAGGGTTAAAGGCATGTGTCACCACCGCCCAGCTACAGCTGGATCTTATGGCAGCATTTTCTCAATCAAGTTTCCCTCCTTTTAGAAGACTCTAGCTTGTGTCAAGTTAACATTAAACTAGCCAGGACATATCCCAAATGTCTTTCAATCATCTTGGTACACTTTGCACATTTGATATCATTCCCTTCTAGTTCATCTAATCAGTCATTAGGATAGGACTCAGTATATTCTTTATGTTAGGAATTCATGTTTTCTGTAATGTGTTCAGTTAACCTGTTTTGGAAGGCCAGTGTGTCCTTTAGATCCTACAGGCCATGTTATTACTTCTCATGGGCGTGATAAGGTTTGGTCCTGCTTTTGTTAGCTAGTTTTTGTTTTTATTCCTCTAAGGCACAGACAGGTTAAACCTACCAAATCCTCTATTTTTCAGTCGTAAAGAACCTTTTGCTCTGAGTAAGGGATTTTCATAGCTGTAGTTACAGAAATCTCTTAAATGGTCCTAGCAGTAGATGGCAAGAAAAAATTTAGGCTATAGTTATTAAGGCCTAGTTACCAGTAGACTTTCATTTGACCATGACTAAGATATTTGTTTGTTTGTTTTCTTTCCTTTTTTTTTCTTTAATCTTTTTTTATTAAGTTTCAACCCAGAGCCTTAGGCTTGCTAACTTCCTCCTGTACCACAGAGCTGTACCCTAAACTACCATACGGTAGTAATCAATGTTCTCTTACCCAACCCAAAATGTTGTTTAAGGCATTTTTTCCCCTTATATGCATGGTAGTGAAGACCTGTAATCCCACCTACTCAGGATGCTGAGGCAGGAGGATCACAGATTCAAGACATGCCTGAGCTACAAAATGAGTTCAAGACTGAGCCTGGAGAACTTAATGAGACCCTGTGTCCAAATAAAAAGTAGAAAGCGGCCTTGGGAAATAGCTCAGTGATGGAATGCTAGCCTAATATGCATGGGGCCATATTTTAAATCCTTCAGATCATAAAATGGCAAAAAATATTTCTACTGAGACATATTTTTCACTTTGCTTATTTTCTACTGTTTTATTATTTATTAGAATAAGATTGATATAAATATAATGAACACATTATGTATGTGTATTAAGAAGTTAAAAGCCCGTGGTTTTGTTTTTGTTGTTGTTTTTGTGTTTTGATTTGTTTGAGACAGGGTTTCTCTGTGTAGCCTTGGCTGTCCTGGAATTCACTCTCTAGACCAGGCTGAGGTTGCACATATTCTTTTAAGGAGAAGAAAAAGTAAAAAGAAAGAAAAATATCCAAATTACCCTTTCTCTTAATTTTATTCTAGGATTGAGAATAATTGCATCCCTTGGTCAAATTTCAGTTTCTTTTATAATCCTATCATATATCCTTAAACTAGGAATTTATCTACCAAATGATAGGTAGAAAGCATAGGTATTTACACAACCTGTGTGCTTTTTTATATGTGCTTTTTTCCTGAGTGTGTATCCTGAAGTGAATGGTCAAGGTGAGACCTGAATCATAGTGAGAGTATATAATGATACGATTTTTTTTTTTTATATTACATGATCCATGATTTGTTTACTAATGTGTATTTAGTGCCTACTGGAGTACAGGCATAGTAATAGGTACCAAAAGGATTAACACCTTAGTTTTGGGCTGCAGATAACACATCGTCTTCATGTTCATAAATAAGAGCATTTCTATGTCATAGGAGTACAAGAATGTAAAATTAGATAGGATAGTGCTTATTATTTGCTCTGAGATATACCACAGTAGTTTATTTGAGATATTAGTAAAACTTTAAAAAAATTAAAACAGTAGGTAATTCTTTTGTGCAAGTATGGATACAGCTGATTTGTTCTGTGTGGCTGAAAGAATTATAAGCAAGAGTTTCTATTTGAAAAGATCTCATATAGTATGCACTTCTTGAACTTGCTGGTCCTAATAGTGGGCAGCTGAGTGCCATAGCATTTTAATTTTACCTGTCTTTACATCATGGATTATGTTTCTCTTTAGGTTTCAATATATGCTGTACCAGAAAAGATTGGTCAAGTTCACCATGCCTTGGACACAACTGTAAAGCTCCTTGAGTTTTATCAAAATTACTTTGAAATTCAATACCCACTTAAGAAATTGGGTAAGAATTTAATAGAAGTTTTTATTTTTATTGCAATTTATAATGAAGATTTGCTTTACAAATGCCTTTTTAAAAGAAGCTTTTGCCAAAATTATTTTTTAAAAAAACAAGAAACATTGTTAATGCTGTAAAAATTGTATTTGTTAAGATTATTTACAATCTCTAAGTTTTCTGAACTTGAACTTTAAATAACTTATATAACTTAAAAGTTTATGGAGTTGTAGGAATATGCTTAGGGCTCCATCTGGAGTTGGACTAACTTCCAAGAAATTTCTGATTCAAATAATAAAAAGTACATACCAGGAGCCCATGAAAGTAAGAAGATTGAAGTTCTGTTCAGTGTGATGCTGCTTCTGAAGGACGTAGTGGGATTTGACCTGGGCTTTGTCTTGCTTACTCTAATCTGATTCATTGTCATGGCTATTTTTTTCTTTGTTGGGGGACAGTGGAATTGTTGATCATAAAAGGATTTGATCAGGTCTTCCTCAGCTAGCTGACAACCAGGTGCAGTAGATCTAGGAAAATGAAGATTCTGTGTGTTAAAGATCATGGAAGATCTCACTGTCTTTACTTGGTAAAGTATCTTGACTTAGGGAGTTCCGTAGATGAGAAGTTGATCTCTTCTTTCATGTTGTCCAGATTTGGTGGCCATTCCTGACTTTGAAGCGGGAGCAATGGAAAATTGGGGTCTGATTACATTCCGAGAAGAGACTCTTCTATATGACAATGCCAGTTCTTCAGTAGCAGATAGAAAATTGGTTACTAAAATCATTGCTCATGAGCTGGCACATCAGGTATTACCAACCAGGGCATTACATCTAAAGCCCTGGAGTTTTAATAAGCACCTGTATAATATTAAGCATATTACTATTCTGTGGTTTTAGTGTTGTTATTATATAAAAATATGCTTTTTAAACACAAACTTAATGATTAAGGGAAAATAATATGTTAGAGCTTCATATTTAAGTCATTTTCACATCTATTATCTCATCTCACAAATGTCCTAAGGTGAGTGGTAATCCAATTTTACAGGTATAGAAACTGAAATTCAGCTCTAAGAAATGACTTGTTTAAATGTACACAGCTAGTAAATGGTAATCTTGAAGAATAACTGTGTCCTCAGATTATCTTTTTTATTACCCCAGTGCTGGGACCAAGCCCAGAACTTTGTGTTTGTTAGACAGTATTTTACCACTGATCTCAATTCTCCAACCCTGGAATATAATTTTTCCCTTAATAATACATATCTGCATCACATCTGGCAACTGCCAGCTGCTCAGTGTAACCTTGTAGGATAGAACTTTTTCCCTCAGTTACACCATCTTCTTTATTAAGACAAAACCTTTTTACTGTGTAGCTCACATTTTTCCTGCCTCAACTCTTAAGTACCAGATCATAGCTGTGGGGCTCATACACAACTCCTTACTAACAATTCTTGAATCACAGTTGTTAGGACGAAATTTCTTTTTCTATTTCCTGCTAGAACTAGGTTCTCTATTAATGTGGGAGAAGGAGCTCTCCCCATATAGAGTGAAGGAATTCTTTGTATAAGATTAAAAAAGAGCCGGGCGTGGTGGCGCACGCCTTTAATCCCAGCACTCGGGAGGCAGAGCCAGGCGGATCTTTGTGAGTTCGAGGCCAGCCTGGGCTACCAAGTGAGCTCCAGGAAAGGCGCAAAGCTACACAGAGAAACCCTGTCTCGAAAAAAAAAAAAAAAAAAAAAAAAAAAAAAAAAAAAAAAAAAAAAAAGAAAAGAATTGTCCATATATATCCCCATTCCCAAAATATTATCTCTGTTGTGCCCTAAATATGAGATGCTTTTCAGTGTAGGGTGTGGTTTGGGAAACTGAAGTGGCAATACATGAAGGAAGACTAGAAAGTGCTGTGGCCAGTTAACTCGGTCTCAAACATCATCTGTTGATGACTCTGTGACCCTTGTAAAAACTTCTTGGCAAGCTGATAAATGAAGCATATATTTACTGCTGTAAATAGGCTGGAAGATTTAATCCTGTTATTTCTGAGACCACTCATTACCACTAGACTATTTCTTATTTTTTTTCTTTTGTTTAGGGCTTATCACTCATCTTCCTGTTAAACAGATTTTTAAGATAGTATCTTAGAAAAAGAAATGATTGAACTCTCAAAAGTAATTTTGTTTTATTGTAGTAATAACCTTAATTTTTGCTGCTGATGTGAAATAAACCCCAGTACACATTGACAAATTTGTATACCCTATAACCACTTTATATTGAAGTATTTTAAAAAGAAGTTTGTGTGTGTGTGTGCCTGAGTGTGTGTGTCTGTGTGCCTGAGTGTGTGTGTATGTCTGTGTGTGTTCTGTCTATGTGAGAGCACATATGGAGGTGCATCAGGTGCCCTCTTATTACTCTCTACCTGTCTGAGGCAGGGTCTCTTTCTAAACCTAGAACTCACATTTAGTGAGGTTGGGAGCCCACAAACCCCAGTGGTTTGCCTGTTTGTACCTCCCTAGAGCTAGAATTGCCACCGTTTGTGGAGAATTACATGGTAGCTTATTACATGGGTGCTGAGATCCAAACTCAGATCCTTAGGATTGCAGGGCAAGTGCTAACTGCTGAGCCATCTTTCCATACCCAAAAGAGACCTAGGAGGGTCTCTTACCTTTTGCCTTCTTTTTACTACCATGTATAAGAAAACATTTAAAGATTTCTCTGATTTTTTTTGTGTGTGTGTGCTTGTACAACAGCTTTCTATAGGAATGTTACTTGAATCTTGTGTGAATCATGTGTCTTGAACTCAGATAATGGAGGAGAAACATGAAATCCAGACCCTCTGACAATAGGAAAATCTTTAGTTGTTATGAATAATTGTGTATATATGTATATTTTCATATATATATGAAAATAACCTTACTAACTTGGTATTAGATCAGATAATTTCATTATCTAAGAAATCTCACTTTAATGAAACAGCTTAAAATTGTCATTATCTATATAATCTGATGTATATTTTATGTAAAAAATTCATACATATTTTAATTACTAAATATATTCACAGTCTTTCCTGCTTTTCCCATTCAGCTAAGGTAAAATGTTTACATTTTTATTTTACTACTAAAATAAGTTTATACAACTTTTAAAATCTTGATTTTAATAAATAAATAAATAAGACCTTTATTTTTTGATACAGTTTGTATCATTTTAATAAGTCTTTAATTGCTCTGGATATAGTTTATTTTAAGACATTTTAATTTGATTATCTGTAATTAGCCTGATAGTTAATCCAATTAAGAAATTCCTGGGAATATGCATGTCTAGATGCTGGTTACTCGCTTGTCTTTCCTGCAGTGGTTTGGTAATCTGGTTACAATGCAGTGGTGGAATGACCTGTGGCTAAATGAAGGCTTTGCGACTTTCATGGAGTATTTCTCTGTGGAAAAAATATTCAAAGAGCTCAACAGTGTAAGTACTGGGTTTCTTTATCCTGAGGCAGGAATATTGAGGTTATGAGTTATATTTACCGTATATTTTCTATGCATTTGAGGTAATGAAAATTTTTTAGAAAGCTATAGCAAAATCTATAATTCTGGAGATTTTACAATTAAAATCGCACTCTTTATTGATGTAGTTCATTGAACATTGAAATAGTTATGTATGATCATATTTTTTACTTTAGGATGAATAGTTTAACTGCTACATTTTTAAAAATAAATATAGTTCTTCTGTTTGAAGGAATTTAAAGTTGGAAAATTTGTTTTGTTAAAAAAAACTTAAAAATCTGTGTTAAGAGAAATGAAATGAAGACTGCTGTCAATACTGCTTTTTATATTGTCACTGAGTGCATTCTTTCAACAGTTTTTAAACAACATATAAGTTGCTATTAGTCAATTAGTCTTCCTTGCTGTATACAAACGACATGTCATACTGTTTCAAAGTCTTGAATACCATCCTGTTATAGAGAGGCATTATGTTGTGAGTTGTGTCATTAGAGTTTGGAGATATTTCCTGTACTCACAGCTGTTCATAGTAAGCCATAATTTGGCAGATATTGCTGAAATAATTCAAGCATTATTGGGCAGCAGAGAGGAATCACGAAACTTGGGCCCCTCAAACTGTAGGAAAACCTCCCACATAGAAATGTTTTCAACCCTAAAATTCTGTGACTTGGTGTTAGACTCCTTACGGACATTATTCAGGTACTTGCAGTAATACTCTTGAGAAGTTCAAGTTTAACATTTCTGTATATAGGGCTTGATTAAAATTGCAAGTAATTTTTAGTTGGAATACTAAGTAGGTAGTTTAAATCATGTGTACTACTTAATTAAGCAATGAAATACACAGTTTCACCACTTGGGGGTGCCCAGAATGCTTAAAATTCTAATATACATTCTAGGGGGACTCTTGGCTGAGCTCTTTCTATGCTTTCAGACTGATTTGTACTTTATTTAAAATAACCTTAACTAAGAATTGCATATTATTTTAACAGAAACTCAAGGTAAGCACCAAGTTTCTGTCCTAAGTTTCAACTTTTAAAAATATACTTTAATCTTCATTGAATATTTATCTTGGATATTCAGATTTGGAAATTTGCTTTTGTTAGTTGTATATCTTAATTCTACAGTTATAGTCTTCTTTTGGAAATGCTAATTCTCATGTCCCTCAATTCTAAGTTCAGTTTTAAATTTATGGAATATTCATATACTGTATTTTCAGTAGTTTATATGCTAAAATTTAGTGAACCCAGGTTTTTTCATTTTGTAGCAATTTGCATAATTTATATAAATGCTATAATTGCCTTTATACTGGTCATGACTTCCTACTGCTTTATTTTTTTGCTAGTACGAAGACTTCTTAGATGCTCGATTTAAAACCATGAGGAAAGATTCCTTGAATTCATCCCATCCAATATCATCATCTGTTCAGTCTTCAGAACAAATAGAAGAGATGTTTGATTCTCTTTCCTATTTTAAGGTATTACTGTGCACAAAGAAATGTGATTTGTTTGTTTTGAGACAGGGTTTCTCTGTGTATCCTTGACTATCCTAGAACTCTCTCAGTAGACTAGGCTGGCTGTGATCTCAGCAATCCGCCAACCTCTGCCTCCTAAGTGCTGTGATTAAAAGCATGCACCACCACCATCCAGCTAAGAAATATACTTTTTAATGGACTAAAACTCACTTTATAAGTCAGCAAAAAGCCGAATTCGTATTAAAGATTGAATAAATACTGCTTTTGGGTATCCTATTAAAGTTTAAACTGTTTAAATTTTAAAGATGTAAGTCTGTTTAAATTTTCGTCTTAACTTTTGTGAATATTTCTTTCTCTGTCTCCCTCTTAGTCACTGTGACTAGTGAAGCAGATCCTGTAAGAATTCATCTTTCAAAGTTAGTTTTCTCTGTTGATCTACAAGTAGAATGTATCCTGAGAAAAGAAGGTCCTCAGAGTTGAGATATTTTCTAGAATCAAGATCACCAAAATAATTAAGCAAAAATTTATTTTAATAATTGACAATTACTATTACCCTTCAGGTTGTGAAACATAAAACCAGGTTTGTGGATGGAAGTAGAAGCTCTGTTGGAATCTGAGCAGATTGGAGAACAGAGGAAGTGTGCTGTCAGTGTTACTCAGAGAGCGGTGTTAAAACTGATTAGCCACTTATTTATTTATTTATTTATTTATTTATTTAGTTTAGCCATTTATTTACTTATTTAGTTTCCCTGATTAGCCCTTTATGTTTGGTTGTCATATTACTTGGCTAGTAAATCCCTGTGCTAGAAGAAAACACATTGAACATGTGAGAATAGTACCCATATTATCAAAAAGCTCAAAATTGGGCGGTAAATACATGTGGAAGAGTAAGAGAAGTTGTATATGCTGAACTAGTACAGAGAATTTATGCATGCTGAAGAGATACTCTGAAGAAAAATAAGGTTTGAAATACCTCTAAGAGCACAGGGTAGGACATAGATGGAATAGTATTCTCTGCAGAGAAGAACCAGGAGTGTTGATGGCAGCCGGGGCAGGGACACTTATGCAGAGATGGGGCCAGAGTGAGTTAGGAAGGTAAGAAAGGAAGCATGAGCCTCAGCTGCAGGAGGTCCTAAATGTCATAAGAAATCTAGGTGTTTTTAAATATAATATTGATTTGATTAAACTTGATATTTAGAAAACTGAAATTGATTCAGTTTATAAGTAGATTCCAGTAGGGAGAGAACAAAAAATAGGGCATGGCACTGAACATCAGACATGCAGTGGTGGGTGTCTGAAATGAGTGGTCATAACAATGAGAAGAAAATAGATCTAAAAATAAGGTGAGTTTTTGAACTTGAAGGACTTGGTAACTGGGTAAGTCAGATAAAGGCAGTGTTTTCCAGATTCAAGCCTTCATCAGGAAGGAAGGAAATTATAGTACTTTTAACAAGAAATCGGGAGTTTAATTTGGTCTAAAAATATATACACTAGTTTCCCTTTATCTGTAGTTTTACTTTCTGTGGCATCAGTTACCTATTATTAACCATCTTATGAAAAATATTAAAAGGAAAGGTGCAATAATAAGCAATTCATAAATTTTAAACTACATGTCATTCTGAGTTATGGGAAAAGCTCATGTTGTGTATGCCTCCCACCTGTTCACTACTAAGTACCATCTCAATTATCAGATTAACTGACTCAATTAGGGCTATGGTCAAGTATCTCTTATTTTATTCATTTAATGATCCCTAATGCACAAGACTTGTCTTATTACCAAAGCAAAGGTATGAAGTAGTTTTTTTAAGTGACTAGGTCAAAGTTCTTAACCTTATAAGAAAAGAAAAATTATAGGTCTGTCTAGCTAATATCTTTACTAATAAGATATTTTGAAAAAGACTATATTCACATGACTTATTACAGTTATTGTTTACAATTATTTATCTTATTATTAGGAATTATTAATATTGTATTACCTAATTCATAGATTAAATTGTATTGTATGTAGGGGAAATCATAGCATATGTAAAGTTTTGTGCTTTGTGGTATCTGGCATGCACTAGGAGTTTTGGAAATTATCCCCTGTGGATAATGAAACTACTGTATTCCAGTTTTTTACTATAGTGATTTTTAAAGCCCATACTTGAGTGGTCAGTAAGGAAAAGTTTAAAACATGTGTTTCTATTGCTATACAGAGGTTAAATAAAGTTGTTATTCCAAGACATGTTATAACTGCTCTGACACCAATCTTCTAAAACCAGAATTCATACCTTCTGATCATGAGATCAGTCGCATACTTAATCCCCAACAATATGGTAACTACATATTTTTCAGTTGGAAATTTGGCCAGTATCACACATCACTGAGAAAAATAGAACACAGAATAATTTTAATATTTTGTGCAAGAAGAAACAAATGTCTGGGGAAGTGTGTTTGACAAATATATTCCATTGTTCTTCATAGTCACCAAGCCACTGACACACGTTGCCTTGTGAGGTTTCGTTCATTAGCCAGTTTTGAAAGTACCATGTGCTACTGGAGATTCTTCAAGAGACCAAGTGGACAATGTTTCTTTGGAGTATCCAGTTCATGGTTCAAATGTAGAGGCAGATATTAGATAAATAAAATAATTAATAGGTGCTATATGAGATAAAGAAGAGAAATGAGAATAACAAAAAAAAAAATGCGATTTGACATAGCATAGTTGGGGAAGGCCACAAGTAGGGAGGGAATATTTGTAACCCATTTGAGAATGAAGCTTATGGGCTCCTGGGGAGAACTAATTAAAGTATAGACCTTGTTTGCAGAAAAGAGTTAATGTCACAGTATTAGAACAACTGGCCTTTGGTAGCCTACTTAAAAGGCTATTCTTTCCTTAGCTGGTATTTGGCAGTCCAGGTTTGGGGGCAGTTTGTAATGTTGATGAAAATTATTTACTCTACTGTGGGGCGTTTACCCACCAACCCTACAGCTCCCCAGAGTTTTCTTGAGTGTGAGCAGCAGGAAATATTAGATAGAAGGATTTATTGCGGAGAATCTTGCGGAGATAAACAGATAGAAAATAAAGGATAGCCTCGAGAGGGCCTGGAACCTATTCCAACAGCCCCCGACTGTCTCTGCACCAGGGTTTTTATAAAGACGCCAAGGGGTGAAGCAAAAGACCTCCTCCCCCAGCACAGCCAAGTGCAGACTATCTCAGACACCTGCTCTCAGGCCCATGGTCCTAATCATTCTCTATGCGGACCTGCTGGGTAAAGCCACGAGGAACCCGAGAACGGGCTCCCACACTCTACCTAAGCTATACCAAAAATGTAGTTACGCTAAATGTCTTCTATTCCTTGGGAGCTCAGGAATTTGGATATATGCAAATCAGAAAGTACTTCTATGCCAACCCTTTAATTCTAGACAGCAACAACAACAAAATTGAAGTTTGGATGTTGAATTTCTTTAAACAGTGCCCCTGGTTAACAGTGTTTCATACATTATCACAGCTTGCTAAAGGAAAGAAGTACATCCTATCTACTAGGAGAGGGCTCAGGAAGATGGATGCCTAGCTTCTGTTTGAATTTCTAAGTCGTCTTATAATAAAAACCCTGAGCCAGATATTGGGGTGAAAGTTTCAAGATTAGAGAAGCAGAGCAAGCCACAGCCACCACCTATTACCTCACCAACTTCACAAATCCTCTGACTGAAATCCTCTAAGTTCTCACCTGAAAGGGTCTCAGCTGAACTGCCTTAGTTCCTGTTTCCTCATGCTTTATATACCTTTCTCTGCCCAGCCATGTCACTTCCTGGGGTTAGAGGCATGAGTGCTTCCCAGTACTGGGATTAAAGATGTGTGCCACCACTGCCTGGCTCTGTGTCCAGTATGGCCTTGACCTTACAGAGATCCGGATGGATCTCTGCCTCCCGAGTGATAGGATTAAGGGTGTGTGCTACCACTGCCTGACCTCTGTGTCTAATATAGTGGCTGGCTCTGTCCTCTGATCCTCAGACAAGTTTATTAGTGTATACAATATATCACCACAGGCTTCCTTTAGACTTCACCCATGTAACTACTACTCAGATGATTTTGCCTTGAATGTTTTCATTGTAATAGATTATAATTGTGAGTGTGCCTATCAGCTGAGTTTTGTGAGTCCTTTTAGTGCTGCATCTTACCTGGAACTGGTGTTAGAAAGTTCCACACAGCTTAAGATGACAGATTGCTTTTCATGCTCAAGCGTAATGTAGTAGCAGGGTATTTGAAATAGAATAAGCAATGGAAAACTAGTAGATGGAGTCAACAGAATTATTAAGCGAAATTATTGTGAAGTATAATATATATTAAGGGCCTTTTATTCTAGATGAAAAAGGACATTTAATCAGAGAAGTATCATGATATTTCTTACTGTTTTAAAAATTATGCCCCATGTTTAACATCACATGAAGTCATGATGACTGATTAGGTAATTGTCATGGATGGACTATGATTGTAATGAGATATGAGATATGGTTGGACCTTGAATGTGTTACAAAAAAAAAAATCTAGTAGCATTTGCTGATAGATTATATGTAGAATGTATGAGTGGAGTCAAATATAAATTCCTGAATGCTGTCCTCTGGCCTTCACATTTACACACACACACACACACACACACACACACACACACAAACACAAACACACACGTAATAATAAAAAGTTTTCTCTCACCAATTAGAAATTAGAATTGTCATTTACTGAAATGGAGAAGACTGCTGGATGAGTAGAATTGGACAAAGAAAAAACTGAACTGTTTAGTATGAGATGTATATTAAACATACAAGTGGAGATACCAAGTAGGTAGTTGAGTGTTGTTGGTTGTTTTTGCTCTTTGACTCTTTTGGCTCTTTGTGGGGCCCACCACCAAGTTCCCAAAGAAGTCACACATGGAGGCTTGTTCCTAATTATAAATGCTTGGCCTTAGCTTGGCTTGTTTCTTGCCAGCTTTTCTTAACTTTAAATTAGCTAAATTGGCCCATCTACCTTTTGCATTTGGGCTTTCCCCTTTTCTTCTGTAATTGTACAATAATTCTTACTCCATGGATGGCTGGATGGCTGGATGCCTGGCCTCGGTGCCCTCCTCTCCTTGTTCTCTTGCTCTTCTTTCCTCCCAGATTTCTCTTTCTGTCCTCTCTGCCTGCCAGCCCCGCCTGTCTTTTCTCTTGCCTTGTTAACTGTTCAGCTCTTAGACCATCAGGTGTTTTACACAGGCACAGTAACACAGCTTCACAGTTAAACAAATGGAACATAAAAGAATGCAACACATATTTGCATCATTAAACAAATGTTCTACAGCATAAATAAATGTAACACACCTTAAAATAAAATTCTACAACAGTTGAATATAAGTCTGGATGGAATTCAGAAGTAAAATCTAATTAAATATATAAACCAGGGGGTTAGATCCCTTAGATTTGAGAACAACTAGAAAACAAATTTAGGTGGCAAAAATTAGAAGCTCGATAGGCAGTGGTGGTGCACGCCTTTAATCCCAGCACTCGGGAGGCAGAGCCAGGTGAATCTCTGAGTTCAAGGCCAGCCTGGGCTACAGAGTGAGTTCCAGGAAAGGCACAAAGTTACACAGAGAAACCCTGTCTCGAAAAAAACAAACCAAACAAAACAAAACAAAAAAAATAGAGGCTCAAGAGTCTAAAGAGCCAATGGCAGGGCACACCAAACTTTAGTCATTGGGAAGATAAGATTCAGTAAAAAAAGACACGACTATAGCATTGAATTAGAGGTAAAATTAGGAACACTATCCCAAGGCTGGATGCATAAAGACTTTTAAACAGGAGTGGGAAATCAGTCATATTAACTGCTATCAGTGCATTATTGATAAGGTAAGTGAGAAGTGAGAATGATCTGACACCAGAAAATTCACCAGTGTCCTTGGTTTTGATATTGCTAGTAGAGTAATGGTTAGTCTGTAGTTAAAAAAAAAAGAACATGGGAAGAGAGCAAATGGGGATGACTGTAAAATTTTAGTACAAATTAGAAGAACTAGTATGATAACTAGAAGAGGCATGAAGTTAAGGAAAGGTAGAGAGTCAATTATATGAATGTTTAGCTGTGTGTGTTTTTTAATGGGAATAATTTAGTATAGAGGAGAAAGTTCATGTAGGAAAAAAGAAGGGACTAGTGAGAATAAAAATGCTTATATTTATAGAATAAATATAGCTACAGAGTGAAAACTAAGTGGAATAGCTATTAAATTTATCTGTAATTAATCTTGATGACTTGATAGTGCTACATTTTTATCACAAGTGAAATTCATTCCAACACTGTTTAATGTCTGCTGCTAGGCATTGTAGTAGGCACTATTTTCTGTAGTTGCATCTTTGAATTATTCACTTAGCTAGCCTTCAGTATAGAAGAAGAAATAAACACATACCAGATATAGAAAATAATATCAATTTCTAATAGGGCAATGTGACTTCTCTCTCAATTCAGAAAAGACACCAAACAGGTAGTTGCTTCCTGGTTGGAAAGGTAACTTGTGTGAGGGGGTATAGTATTGCCTGAATACTTGCAAGTACAGTTATGGAATCAGTTTTTGTTTCTCTGTACATTCATTAGTATAGGCATTGTTCAGAAGAAAAAAGATCCTGATTATTTCTGTAGCATGGGAGACTAAAATTAGAATGTAATTACTACCAGCAGAGAGATCTTGAAAGCTCTGCTAACTAATTGTGTCTTTCTCAGTACATATACATGGATGCAGCTTGCACTTTAAGCATTGGAGGTGTGAGAAGAAATGCCATGGATTTGTCATGTGTTCCTATTAAAAATACACAAATGTTGACCATTTTAATACTGACATGATAATAGCAAAATACACTGATAGGCCACAAAGAATGGCTCATGGTAGATTTAGTGTGCATAGGAATCTGACTCCCTTTCTTAATGTTTATATCTTTAAATAATTGTATTTGAACATGGTCTACATCTATGCAAACAAGACTAATAATGTATTATTATTATGTTGTATATATTAAATCACATGTTTTAGAAATAATTCACTTTCAATCTTAGATTCTTGATTCTGTGGCCTGCAATAATCTGTTATTTTCTCCTCTTTTTCTCAATTTTTGGACAGGGAGCTTCTCTCTTGTTGATGCTGAAAACTTACCTTAGTGAAGATGTGTTTCAGCATGCTATCATTCTTTACCTGCACAATCACAGTTATGCATCCATTCAAAATGATGATCTCTGGGACAGCTTTAATGAGGTAAGTAGCCTGGATAATTCAATCCTGTCTATGAACTTTAAGGTCCTCTGCTGATATCTTTCACACATATAAATGGTACCAATGATAGTTATTTAAGAAATACTGTTTATTGTTGCAAAAAAAAAAAGCGATCTGGCCATGGGTAGCCATAATTATGTACCATAATCGCCATTCCCTTTGTTGGTTGGATAAGGAAATCTTTTCTTCTCAATATTAATGAATACTACATATTTTTGATACTTGATTTTTTTTGCAAAAACTTATTTTCCTATATCTTTTCTAGTTTTTCTACCTTCAGTTAATGGTACTATATGGAGCTTTATGAATCTCTTGATTTGGGGGGCCCAGATCTCTCTCAGTAGATGATATATCACAAAATGACTACCCTGAGTTACATACTGCCCTTGAGTTGTTTGTCTCTTTGAATTTTGTTACACTTCCATTGTCTAACAAGCAGTGTAATTAGATAAAAGTTATTCTTCAGAGCAGTGTGTGAACCTAGCTATACACCTATGTTGGCTGCACAATCCTCATAGGTTTCTGGGTTTATTATTCTGATCTAAATTGGTGGTTCTTTGTGTTCTTCAAGATCACAGATATATCTGAGAATCTGATAAAAGTTCTTGTCATTTGCCTCAGAAAACCACATCCATGCAGGAAGACATCACATGTAGTTTCGGAGTCGTCTGGGTGCTGAGCCAGGAGCCCTTGCTTTGGATGTATCTCCTTTACTCTTGCTTTGCCCACTCTGAATGGTGGTATTTCCAGGATTAACCTTTTGCCCAGAAGATAGAACTTCCCTACTAAGTTCTGTTTGAGAGAAGGAATTAATTCTTATTACCTAACACTTGCTTCTGTATTATTATTTCCCCAATCATGTTGGCATTTCAGTTGAGAGTGATCAGTACTTGGTTCCCATTCATACATACTATGACATTTGGAACATATCACTCACTACAAATAATGATGTCCCATCCCAACCTAGTTCCTAAGATTATTCTCATTTTTTCAACCTCTATATTAAACTTGTACATTAATCTCTTCTTTAAACTTATCAAAATACTTTGCTTTTCTTCCCAGCCTCTGGTCCTGAAATAAATAGGTCAGAGCCATAAGAAAGATAAGATTAATACCTCTATGAAATTGGGGAACATTGTTCCATACTTTCGTATTTTAAGCAGCCATATAGAAGAGCTTTCCTTAATGATGTAATAATGCAGGTTTTATGATGTTGTGGTGGCTTGAATTTACATCTATGTGTAATCGAGAAAAGTAAGCTGAATCATAAATTTAATAATCTTCATGCTTTAAAGAGACCATTTTTTGTAAACCACTTCTTGATCATTGATACCTGATGTCTTGGATGTAGTGAGCCTTAGAGGGTCTAAAACATGAGACATCAGATTTTAGATTTTATAGAAAAGTTAATGTATTTTGGGGAAATAAGATCTATGATCATCAAAGAGTTTACTGTCATTCGCTAAGAGACTTGGTTAAGGGACTAGAGTTTTCTGCAGCTTCCACTGACTGAACTTTCTAGCTCTCCCCCAAGACTGGGTCTTTAAAAGACAGACACTGAAAAAGCAGAGTAGGAGAATAAAGAGGAGTATGGACTTGCTGCTTCTCAGGATTGAATTGCAATGCTTCCATCCTATAATACTTCTCACTAGTTGTATCTTTGAAGTGGTAATGCTGTGGCTTGAAAGTGCACTTACATCTTCTGTGAATCCATAGAATTAATGTTAAACTCTACTGGTTGGTAGCATACCTGCTGCTTTTCAGAATGGTACTGCTCATGCCTTATGTAACACTCACTTATATTCCAAGCTAGTTTGTTTTACTTGCTTGATGAAAAATGTAAACTCAACTCAGCATCAATTCTGTGTGATCTTCATGGTGTACATTAGGGAAAGAGGAAAAGGCACAGGCAAATTAAACTAAAACTTTAAAACTAATTTTATCATTAAGCAAAATTAATTATTCTTAATTGACTAGGTCACAAACAAAACACTAGATGTAAAGAAAATGATGAAAACCTGGACCCTACAGAAAGGATTCCCATTGGTGACTGTCCAGAGGAAGGGGACCCAGCTCCTTCTACAACAAGAAAGATTTTTTCTAAGCATGCAAGCAGAAATTCAGGCTCCGGATGCCAGGTATCATCCTTCCTTCTTCCCAGCCCATGTCATTTCCACCTTCAGGTATAAGGGTTTTAGATATTTTATAACCATCATTCTTGTGAAACCTGATGAGGTCTTTCCCTCTAGAAGAAGTTTGGAAACTTTCGGTTGCTGTCACAAACCACCAAGTCCTGAATAACTAACTGAAATATTAGGAAGAGAACTAACTCTCCAATGTTTTACTTCTGCAGCTACCTTTGGCATATTCCAATATCCTATGTCACTGATGGAAGAAACTATTCAGAATATCGATCAGTTTCACTACTGGACAAGAAGTCAGGTATGACAATAGTTAATACCTTTCTGATAAAAAATTACTAATAATGTAATTTTAAAAATTTGACCATAGGGCAAATAATAGATTGCATTTTCCAGTGTGTACATTCTCTAATCTAGTGTCATAAATAATTAACATTTGATACAATAAGACTGACTCTTTATATCTATAGAATTGGCTTTTAGTTGTAAGAAATAAGACTAAGAAATTGTAGAGAATATCTTGGCAGTGTTTTATTTTTAGGTCCTGGATAAATATTTTATGTTTTAAAATAAGTAAAAGAACCAGAGCACTTGCTTAAAGTGTCATTATCTACTTTCAAGGGCTAGCATGGGCCAGTGCATTTTAACAAGCATTTTATAGATTATTTATATGCATAATAAAGGTTGATTTATGACCTAGATTTATAATAAGTGCTTATTGCAACATATCCTGTAGACATATATGTAGCTGGACTTTCTTTTGACCGCCAGCTCCCAAATAATGACACTGAGACTTCTTATTAATTATGAAAGCTTAGCCTTAGCTTAGGCTTGTAACCAACTAGCTCTTAAAACTTAAATTAACCTGTTTATATTAATCTATGCCCTGCCACATGGCTCATTACCTCTCTTCAGTAAAGTATGTCCAATTTCCTCTGTGTCTCCTGGCAAATTTTCTGGCTCTCAGATTCTCCCCTTCCCCGCAGTTTCTCTCTCTCCCTAGAAGTCCTGCATTTCCTCTCCTGCCTAGCTATTGGACATTCAGCTCTTTATTAAACCAATCAGAAGATGCCATAGCAGAGACACATCTTCACAGTGTACAAAAAGATTATCCCACAAAACGTGTATTTTTTTGTTAATGAAAAATAGAACAAGAAGCTAATAAATCAATGATACAGGCTGAGTATCCCTAATTGAGTTTTATTACAACATTCAAAATATTTCCTAATTTTAGATCAAAAATGGTTTCAGATTTCCAGGTTAAGAATGTTCTACTAGTAAAATCTGTACAAATGGTAGAAAATATACAATGCTCCCAGATTTGAAATACTTCTGGTCCCAGGCTTTTCAGACAAGGCACAATTAGTCTGTATATGTTTACCCATAAAACTACTGAAGTATAATTTCTGACCATTTGTGAAATACATCTGTGATACCTACTCATATATTCTTTATATTTACATCCCAAAAGAACATAAGACCGTTGGGTTCTGTGAGAATCAGCCATGAATACTTTAGATTTATGAAAAAGGGAAAGTTCTTGATTAGATTTGGGTCTGTTTTCAAATCTACATTTTTGATAGCTCAATGAAGCCCAATTGCCTGGTTCACGCCATGGCTCTCCCATTTGCCACTTAACTGGATTTTAGATGAGGTATTTGGCTCTGAGCTTACTCTAAAATAGGGTTGTGATAAGGATTTTTAGAGTTTATTTATATAGAGCACCTTAAGTAATATCTGGCATGTGCTAAGTCCATGTTAGACAACATTACTAGTGGCCTTACTAAAGAACCTTTAAGGCAAGTGTATCCACGTTACATAGACTATGGAAACAGTCTTCTAATGCTATCATAAGTTCTCTTGTGCTTTCTTATCATTTTTAAATTTTTTACTTGAAATCATATACACATGATTTCCATATCTTGCCTTTAAAAGCATATATATGGTAACTGACAGTCTTTCATTTTTTATACCCATTATTCATCATTGTCTTTATTAAAAATATTCCCTAATAAAAATATTAGATGTTAAGATTCCCCCCCCCCATTTTGTCTTTTTTTTTCCTTTTTATCAGTGCTTCTCAAAATTGAAGATTATTACCTTTTGTGATTAGGTACTGAAAAGATTAAAATATCTTCTGTGTTATATGATATCAGTGGAAGCTGTCAGCTTCAATATATAAATGTGCCATTTCATTGCAGCTTTGCCACACGCTGTACAAAAGTCACAGTAGCTACATAACAGTCTCACTATTTAAAGTCCTGGGAGCAAGAAAGTGATTTCACTATCTCTTTGATTAATGTGTAAAAAAGTGCTGCGTTCCCTGGTAAAACAGAACTCTAAACATTAGAGTTCCTAAAGGGATACTCTGACTCAAGGAAGAAGATTACCCTTCCCCTCTGTGCATCCAGCAGTATAGTGTAGACAGAGTTTTCTCAATTAACTGCAGCCACTTCCCAAATTACCACACAGGGGTTAGTATTATTTATAAATGCTCAGCTAATAGCTCAGGCTTGTTACTGGCTAACTCTTACACTTAAATTAACCCATGTTTCTTATCTATGCTTTGCCATGTGGTTCATGGCTTGCTACCTTATTTTCTATATGTCCTGTTTGCTCGGCAGCTGGCTGATGTCCCTCCTGACTCTGCCCTTCCTCCTCTCAGAGTCCTCTGTGTCTGGCTGTCCTGCCCATACTGGCTACCAACTGGCCTATCAGCTTTTTATTAACCAATGAGAGTAATACATGTTCGTAGTGTACAGAAGGTGTATTCCACAGCAGTATAGTCTAAATACAACAGATCATTTAAAAAGAGCCAATAAGGAAATTTGCAGACTTCCTAATAGTATTTAACTTTTTGCTGATATTAAAAATAGACAATAAGAAATCTGCTTCTGTCTGTTCTTTAAAAAGCTCTGTTTATATGTGAGTGTGGTACACTATATTTGAGACTCATGTTGAATAAAACATCTCCAATTTCCCTACTTATTCCTTACACTAGTCAACTCTTTGTTACTGTAACAGAATAACAAATAATTTAAAGTGGGGAGATATTTAGATCAGCTCACAGTTTCCCAGGTTTTAGTTCCTGGCTCTGGGATATAGGAAGGAGAAGAAAAGGAAAAGAAAAGAAAAGACTCATAGTAAAAGGGAATATACAAAAAGGAATGTAATTGTTGAATCTGAGGCTGGAACTGGCCCAATTTGATGTAAGCAGCATGTGCTGTTAGTAACTATGTAGTTCTCTGGTGGCTGTTGCTGCTTTCATTTCTGCCAGCTTAGATTTAAGACTGCATGTTGAAAACACTCTGCTCTTATACGAAAACGTTTGACCCTAAGGACAGCTGGATCTCCTTGGCTCCTGATACCCCAATAGTAATTTCTCTCAACTTAGTTGCATTTTTTTTTTAATTTTAATTTTAATTTTAATTTTACAATACTATTCAGTTCTACATAATAGCCACAGAGTCCCTTGTTCTCTCCCTTCCTGTTCCCCTCCCCTTCCCCCCAGCCCACCCCCCATTCCCACCTCCTAGATCAAGGTCTCCCCCGAGGACTGGGATCGACCTGATAGACTCAGTCCAGGCAGGTCCAGTCCCCTCCTCCCAGATTG